GTCAACAGTGGGGCCAGATAAAGTGCTTAACCCTCTCTCTTTAGATGAACACACTTTGTAATACTTCACATGTGTCCTTTGTCAAGGAGTGGGGTTAGTGAAAGCAGAAGTCAGTTTTTTGGATCCTTTTGTGATTTCAAACAATCTTCAACTAAAGTGCAATTTGAAGTTATCATCTTCTAAGCACACTAGTGAAGTAATGTCTAACGGAGTGCTTCCGTAGAAGAAGTCATTCAAATAGTGGGGTGTGATTTAAGGATACAATTGAAAAGTGTGCAGAGCTTCCCCTTGTAAGTTGAAGTATCTCAGCTGTGGTAAACGTATCACCTGGGTGGAAAGGAACATCCTGATAATGAGGGAAAAGAGCGGGAGAGGAGGGAAAGTGAATATCAAGAAAAGGAAAATACTTGGCAGGAAGTTGGAGTCCTTAAGAAGCCCAGGACTTGCTCCTTTAAAGAAGGGAACATTGACGCAGAAACACGGAAAATACAGCAGCAGGGGCGGTCTAAGACACTTTGGGAGCAGGATCCTGGAAATATTTCGAGTAGCATATATACATTTGAAGTAAGAGCTTCCTCGATGCCTGTACTAGCTAATGCTCACAGCACTGGGCTGACCGTCCTCGGGCTGCCACTGAAACTTCTGCATCCCTGCCGGGCGCCTAGCACTGCTGGGAGCTGTTGAGAACGGAGAGAGCATGAGCCGGTGGCTCTGTCTGCCGGGAGCCGATGCAAGTTACATCAGATGTTGTGCTGGCGTAGTCTCTGATGGCACCGGCACCGGCACCGGCATTGAGAGAGGGGGGTGAGGGATTGAGGTCACCCAGAGACAGTCCCAGAGTAGAAGGAAGAGAGGTCTCTTCTTGTCAGAAGGAAAAGCTTAAATCTGCTTTTATTCTGTTCTTGTGAAACGAACGACTCTCCCAATCAGTAGGTCTGTCAGTTGCCCCTTGAAGGACATGTGACAGCACTCTAGGTAGTGGTGAGGAGAGGCCGGGGACACGCTGCTCTACACCCTTGTTAGGAAGATCATAAATATGCCCGCGCCCCCTGCCCCAAACAGAGCGTGATCCAGCCCCTAATGTCAGCATTGGGGAGCCAAGGAGCCCTGGTCATGAGCATGGATGCCATGTACAGGCACCGAAGGTACAGCAGGACTTATCATCTGTCTGCAAGAAGCAATGGCCAGTACCTCCCTGAGTTACTCCGGTCAGTTGGTGAGTGGCATGGAAGTAACATGTGATTAAATATCTGACATGCTACTGAAAGTTCTGACGTGGTCAGTTAAAAATCACAGTCTGAAACAGGGATATAATGAAGGATTACTGACAAAAGGAAACTACGTATGACTAGAAACACCTTTTTGCACTTGACCCAAGCATGTGTTGTACCCAGGATCTGCATATTAAGCATTGACAGTCTCAACTCCATACATGCTACCCAGACCTCTTGGCTTAATGGAACAAGTATGTCATTTAGAAGCAGAGAAGTAGAGTTCAAGTTGTAGTTCTAGCTGTGTGACGTTGAACGAGTTGTACTTGAAAGAGGAAAGTAAAAGTACCTGTCCTGGTACTTCAAGAAGCTCCGTGGTGCAGCAGTTAAAATGGCTTGGCTGCTAACGGCAAGGCCAGTGATTCGGACCCACCAGCTGCTCCACAGGTGAAAGATGTAGCAGTCTGCTGCCATCAACATTTACGGCCTTGTATCCCATTGGTAGCATAGAGGCTATGCATTGGGCTGCTAACAGCAAGGTCAGCAGTTCGAAACCATGTGCCACTCCTCGGGCGAAAGCCTGGGCTTTCTACTCCCATAAAGTGGTACGGTTTTGGGAGCTCCCGGGGGCAGGTCTATCCTTGCCCACAGAGTCACTATGAGTTGGCATCAACTCCATGGCAGTGGGTTTGGTTTGGAGTTTTGTATCTGTGCTGCTGCAGTGAGCACTGGTTTGGGGTTTTGGAACCCCAATGGGGCAGTTCTGTTTTATCTTAGAAGATAACTAGGAGTTCATCATAAACCCAAGGAATCGTCATGATGATCAATGAAGTACGTATAGTTGGCTGTTATTAACTTTACCACGATCCTGAAAGCTGAGTATTCTATAAAGTTGAAACAGAAGTACAGAGAGGGCATGGTTTGCATAAGACCACACAGTAAATAATGGAAAATCCAGCCCTTATCTATCTCCAGCTTTTTTACACTTAACGTACTGCCTAGCAAGGACTGTAGGTTAGGTGTTGGCTGCTAACCACAAGGTCAGCAGTTCAAACCCATTAGCCGCTCCAGGGGAGAAGGATGGGGCCTTCTCTTCCCAGAAAGATTTGCAGTCTAAGAAACCCTGTATCGGGCCATGATGAGTCGGAATTGACTTGGGTGGTAGGGGTTTGGGTTTCTCATGTTGCCATGGTAAGATAATGGAGGAGAGGAGCAGAAAAACTAAAACAAAACGAACTAAAAATACTTTTTTTAAAGCTAGTTTTCTTTTTCTCCATACTGAATTTTTCTTTTGCCTAGATTGTTAATTCTCTAAATGCCTTGAGCAGCATAGATCAAAATAAACACGTGCAATGCGCTTTATGCTTCTAAAATAATAAAGTGCCTTAGATTTGTTAGAGACCTAAGCAATTTTGTCTTTATATTTTTCTTGAAACTTTTTAACGTGGGGGTAGGGGGGAGTCTTCCCAATGCTTGGGAATTGCCTAGTTCAAATTTCTACTCCAAAGGCTCTCCTTGGAGACTTCTCATCTCATGACCTACACTACTGGAGTTTTATATTCTCCTTTTTATTTATTATTCTCCTAACTTCCTGGTCTCCAAATCATCGAGTCAATTCCAACTCACAGTGACGCTCCAGGCCAGAGCGTAGCTGCCTCTGTGCATCGCTGAGGTTCAAGTCTTGACAGCAGCAGACAGCATCAGCGTTCTCCTTTGGAGCAGCTGGTGGGTTTGAACTGCTGACCCTGTGGTTCGCAGTAGGGCACAGCCCACTGTGCCACCAGGGCTCACTTACTGGCCTACTGAAGTTAAATGAGATGTGTAGGGCCCAAAGTCTAATCGTTTCAGATTACTTATTTGGCACTACTTTCTGTGGCCCTGAAGTGGGAAGAGGAGTGGTTGGGTGAAGGGAGCCGTTGGTTCTGCCCTGGTTAGTAGCCTGTGACATTAGTAAAACCATGGATGTGAGAGCCCAAGGAATAAATTCCTCACAATGGGAATGACATTTCCATGCCCTGAATCCTGAGGAGGAAGGGGGAAAAAAATCTCACAAACCAGAAAAGGTTTATGTAATTCTATCTGGTGACAAGAATAATTTTTACAGTGGGTGTATGTGGGCAGCGTTTTGATAAACATTGAACTGAGCAAAACTGAAATTTCTTTGAAGCCATATGTGGGTAAAATTGTACCCGACTGTTTTTGTGCAACATTAATGTGCAAGCAATCTGCCTTTGGGTAAACCAAAATAGTTGTTTTTCTCATTCTGTGCATTTATGTCTCCAACTTCCTTAAAACAAGCCATGGACCATAAAGACCTCTCTCGTCTAAGAAAGTTCTGAGCAGAAGTTTTCCAGTCTCATTGTAATTAACCTACAACCTGACTATAAGCTCAACATCACTGTGAACCTTGAAAGGATTCAACACATGAAGAGTTTGATTTATCTATTAAGTACCTTTGGGACTTTGGTGGCATGGTGGTTACACATTGGATTGCTAACCATAGGGTCAGCAGTTTGAAACCACCTGCCGCTCCAAGGGAGAGAGACAGGGCTTTCTGCTCCCATAAAGAGTGACGGTCGTGGAAACCCTCAGGGCAGTCCTGCCCTGTCCTACGGGGTCACCAGAAGTCAGACGATATGGCAGTGAGCTGGGTGTCATTCAGTAACTTTGCAGTAGGAATATTTATACCCAGGTAGTTTTAAGTTATGGCCAAGACAAGCTAACAGAAGAAAGAGAGAGGGGCGCTCAAGGTTGTCTCTCCATCAAAATATGAGCTTTGTAATCAGAAGGAACTTTAACAATCAGGAAGCGCAGCCTCCTCGTTTTCTAACAGAAAACCTGTTGCCGTAGGTCACTTCTAACTCATAGCAAAGCTTGTGGAACAGAGTAGCTCTGCACCCGGGCTTCCGAAGCGGTACGTCTTTCCAGAGGCAGGCTGCCATGCTCTCTGCCCTGCAGCGACGGAGGAGGGCCGGTACGTGGTCAGCAGCGGAGCACCCGACTGCTCTACCGCCGGGGCTCCTCGGGAAATGGAGGCACAGAGATTAGTTGGTTTGCCCAGTATCACATAGGAAGGCAGACTAGCCTCATCATCCTCTTTCCCCTAGTCTGTATTTTTCATCTTTTCGTCCGCTGTTAGAATGAGATACTTCATTTTTTTTAAAGTGTCTTTAAGCAGGTAATACACGAGCATGGAACAAAAGGGAAGCGATATAAAAAGGGTTAAGGTATACAGGGAGGGATTCGGCCTTCCTTCTGGCTCCTGTCCATCCTCCTCCCTCCCTCATGGTCAGCAACTGCAAAGATGGAGACTCCTTGCTTTGCTTGTTTTTAAATGTTTTCATGGTGAGCTGGGTGAAGGTTGCCAGAGCAAATCCTGCTCGGCTCCGCACTCCCTGCACACTGTTTCAGTCCTTGACTGCAGTCCCTCCGTGCAGCGCCCTGGCTAATCGCTGCCTCCTGCCCTTGGCTTCCCCTCCTCCTCCTCCTCCTCTCCCAGCCCTTTCTGCCTCTGCACCTGCCCGTGGTCCCCATGGCTGAGTGTGCCCAGCAGTGCCTCCCTCCCCCGTGGGCCCCTTACAGACTTGCTGGGCTGTTTGTTTGTGGTGGCTGTTTATATCTGACCTGTCAGTTTACTTCTTTATTATTGAGAATGGCGAGTTTCTGGCCATTTCTTTGTTTTGTTTTGATAGAACTTAGTGGGGAAATGTGATTGTCTCATCATCCCAATCCTATCAACAAGTTCAAATGGGAACGAAAAGGTTCAGTGAGTCTATTTCTCCTTTTCAGATCGGAACCAAGGCTTTGGCCTTCTCAGTTCCTTGGCTGGAGCACACCGTCCCCCCGGGGCAGCGGAGCACGCGCACTCCGAGGTAAGGGTGTTTTCTGCCCTCTCTTCTCTCTCTGCCTTTAAGTTCTCCTTACACTTCTGGATCTTTACACCTTTTGTTCCTGCCCCCCCATTTAAAGGTCTGAAGCAGCGGTGTCGTGCGCACATCTGTTGATCAGGCGGCTGGGTCAGCCCCTGTTGAAGTGGGAAGCCCCTTTCTGGACGTTGCATTTGGGGCTTGGGTGTGTTTGTTTGGGTTTAAACTACTGGCCGTCCTTGCCGCCTGCAACATAGGGAGTTCTGCCTTGGGCTGCTGACGGCAAAACCTCCACCTGCCCCGTGGGAACCAGGTGGGGCTTTCTACTGCCACAGACTGGCAGTCCTGGACCCCACGGGGCGCTGCCGCTCTGTCCTCTAGGGCTCACTGTGAGTCGGCATGTTTTCCTTTAGTTTTGTGGTTTCCTTAAGGCGTACGTACACCTGCAGCGGAGCTTAGGCTTAACACAGAATTTTTGTTTCTTTGTTTTCTCAAGTACTTTCTGTGTGCAAGGTTCTGCATTCCACTTTGGGTGAGGTCCCTGCCCTCACTGAGAGCGGCGTCCAGTCTCAGCCCTCTGTCCTCGGGGCCAGTGTGCCAGGACCAAGAGCAAGCCCGCGGCGGGACTTCTCCTCACGCTCGGAGCGGTTTCAGATAAGACAGTGTCTGTCTCTGCCTTTTGAGTAGAGTGGACAGACACCAGACAAAAATGATTCAGTAGCCTATAGGGGAACCATAACACTTTCTAGTTTTTTCCTTTTAAGACAATAACTCCGGGTTACCAAGTTTTCAGACTTTATTTATTTTTCACGATAAAGTGCACATTTATTTCAACTTTTCACGGTGACTTGGGCGAAGGCCTACAGAGCAGACCGTCAGTTTTCTGCTCAGCGCTCACCCACGGCTGCTTCAGCTCATCCGCTGGCGTCTCCTCCGTGTGCCGTCCCTGACCCACTTCCTCCATTCCTTCGATTTCTTTTTATTTTCTGCTTTGATGTTGGGCTGTTCCCTCTCTCCATGCCTCTAGCTCCTAGCACTCCTTCGCTAAAGCCAACCAAGATGTGGCTTTTTTGGTAATTTCGTTCTGAGGAAACCTGCTGTTAAATTATTGTGTGTGTTTTCCTCAGCCACAGCCCTCTTTGCCTGCCGCAGACAGAAGCGGAGCCCTCCTGGATCACCGGGGTGCTGCGTCCCACACGGCAGAAGCCCAGGTTGAAAGCATTGTGGGTAAGCGCCTTCTCCGGCTACCAAGAGACGGCTTTGTGAAGGTGGAAGGAGTAGCGGAGTGCAAGCCCTGGGTGGGAAGTGGACTTTACACAGGGAGAAACGAGGAAGGTGGATTGTGTGTTCTCAGTGCCCAGAATCTGAGCCTTGCGGATGGCTACAGGGAAGAAGAGGATGAGCACCCATCAAAGACACCGGCCTTGCTTCCTCTTTGGTCCTCTTGGCAGGATCATGATTGACATTGTCTTAGCTAAGCGGGGGGCAGCTTTCTGTTTCAGACTAACGCTCAACACTAACCAGAACCGCAGTGGTAAGGATAACACAACTTTATATTGCTGAACTCTTTTACAGCATTTTCACCATCTTCTCTACCTGCTTTTCATTTGGTAGCAAAGGTTGGCAGAGACGTTATGCTACAGAGATGACGCTGAAGCAAGGTTCAAGGCTGTCTTGCAAAGAGATCTGGACTTGGAACCAGATTCCAGTCTGTTGGCTGAAAGCCAGAAAGCCAAAGAACTGATGGACAGGATCTGTGAATGTTGCTTTATGGAGAACCTGACTCTCTGTTCACTACCCAAGGGCACACATGCACTCACATTACAGTTTTGTTTAGCTGTTTTTTTTTTTATCTGATTGCAAAATAGTAGAGCAAATTCAAGTTGTTGATTATAGAAACATGTAAAGAAGAAAAAAATATTAGTAGCCTCTTCTCTCCCATCTATTCAACCGTGTCCTTTTTCAACAATCCTTCCAATGGGCTTTCAAACCGGGTAAAGTTTCTTCCATCAAAACAAACCTTGAACCACATTGAAAGGGGTGGAGAACAAGGGAATAATCCAAATAACTTTGGAAAACCGTATTCAGACTGGACAGTGTAAGGCTCAAGACAAAAACCACAATGGAAACAAACACTGAACTCTCCGTAATGGACTTGCCTCTCACAGGGACAGGCGTCATCAGTGCTGAGATGACTCTGCATGTGTGTTACGGTTGGACAAAAATTAGACTGTGCTTCATGAGCGCTGGGCTGCTTGCTGTCAGAAATGGGAGCTACAAATAAGGGCACGGCGAGGATGAGCCCTGTGCCCCTGCGCTGGAATCGAAGATGCCACCAGAATCGGGTATTGAAACAGAAACCAGGTTGCCTGGCGATGTAGCTCATCCCAGCTCCAGGGCAGCCAAACGCAAGGGGAGCCCAGAGCAGCAAAAGAAGGACGTGTTGGACCAAGATCGGTGATGTGTTAACAGGGTACACAGACCATGCTGGAAGAGCTTCTAGTAGCAAAAAGTGGAACAAAGTAATTAGGTTACTGACACTGACACCAGTTATAACCCCTAGAGTAAAATAAGTGTGCGTTATACTAGTGGTGAGAAGTATTCACAGATCAGAGTAGCACACTCAAGCAAGAGGTTAACAGGTTGCTGTGGTTCTAGTAGGGACGCGTGTCCTCACCACATTAGAGGTTGCTTGTCACCGACAGATAGGAAAGCATCTGTTGTTGCATAGTAAAATGGGGGCTCCATGTCATCCTTTGCTGGGGGTCGAATCCGCGTTCCTTAAAGGAAAGAGGCCTTCAGAGCTGGACCAACCCACGAACCGGAATCGGGCCGCACGTGACACCGGCTGCAGTGGCCACCTCTGAGCTGGAGTCCTCCCCGCGCCCCCCTTTCCTCGCATGCGGTGTTGGGCAGGTGGGCCAAGCTGTGGTCCATTGTGGGCCCCGCACACCCTCGATCTGGGACACTACTTGCCAAGAAGAGGTGTGCGCTGGTTTTAAAAAAAAATCCCCCAACTTACAAAATCACACAGCTCCCGAGTCTACACGATGCCTGCCCTGACTCCAGCATCGAAGCCGTGAGATTCTGTGTATGGAGCGCACACGTAAAGAACGGGGCCCAAGTAACGTGACCCATCCTCCTTTCAGATCCCATGTTAGATCTGGATATTCAAGAATTAGCCAGTCTCACTACGGGAAGAGGCGACGTGGAGAATTTCGAAAGGCTGTTCTCAAAGTTAAAAGAAATGAAAGGTAACCCGCTCCACGGGGTCTGCCAGGCGCCCGCCCCTTACTCGTCTGCTTTTACTCTCTCTGGTTTTCGCGCCTTGAGGAGCTTCGTTCCATGGGGGACCGTGCCCTTCTCTGTTGGGAAAATCCCCCTGGGGAAATATTCTTCCTCCTCCTTTCTCTCTCCTCGTGCTCCTCCCCCTCCCCGTGGCCCCGTGCGGTCCGTCTCATTACCACGGACTCAGTAAGATCCCCACCAGTGTGCTCACATCGTTACCATCTGGAGAAGTTGGACGACTTCACACTTCCCAGTATCTGTAATGACTAGACCGTAAACATATGGCTCTGAAACCCCATCTCCCATCTCCCAGTGTTAGAACATCCACGCGCTCCAGATTCCCTGGGGCGGCGTTTGATGCATCTCTTAAGATGTCTTTCCCTCCTAGATAAGGCCGCGACGCTTCCTCACGAGCAAAGAAAGCTGCATGCAGAAAAGGTGAGACAGCCGGTCGGTGTCTCTTGAGTATCTACCAAAGGTCCTGGGGCAGCATCGTGACCGGGCGCAGGTGCTTGTTGGGAAAGAGTCTTCGTGTGAGCCATGGGAGACTCACTTTACAACAAATTGACTGTTGATACAATAGTAGCGGAGCTCTGGCCGTCAAGATGTTTCCGGTATATATTGAGTGGCATGGGGTTTTCATGTAAACTCAGGAGACGTCTTATTTTGTGACTATTGAACAATTACTGCCTTTTACAAAAAACCAGTGCACGTCTTTCCTTGGCAAGGAGTGCACACAGTCCTTATTCCATTGTGTAAACGTGTCATTTCTGACCCCTAGCCCTTTGGGGCAGCTTGGCCAGGAGCACCATTTGTGTCCATAAGTAAGGAGCTCTTAGCTGCTAACCAGAAGGCTGGCACGGCAGTTGAAACCCACCAGCCGCTCTGCAGAACTAAGATGTGGCAATCTGCTTCTGTAAAGATGGCAGCCGTGGAAACCCCAGGGCACTTCTCTGTCCTACAGGGTGGCCGTGAGTCCGAATGGAATCGACAGCAGTGGGGCTTATTGGGATGGACACATCCTTACATAACCCTAGTGTACAACTCTGATTTTATCCTGGGAATCAATGCCTAGAGGTGGAAGTCCTGGGGCCACCAGGTGTGCTGCGGGCCAGCGGCAAAGTGTAGAACTGCAGGTGTGCCTGAAGTGAGCATACATAGGCAGCGCGTACAGCTGGTTGCTCGATTCTCTCCGCAGGTGGCCAAGGCATTCTGGATGGCGATTGGGGGAGACAGAGATGAAATCGAAGGGCTCTCATCGGATGAAGAAAACTAAATTGTTTGTTCCGGGCTGGAGCAGCCGAGATGCCATCACTCCCTTAACCTGAGTTAAGGGGCATTGCCCTCCTCAGCCCTGTGCTAGTTTGCTAAAACCCCCATCGTGCTGGCCACCCGCCTTGTTGATGGGGCTCCCGTACTGCTCGCGTTTAGTAGGTGTTTAAGGAGAAACGTTTCCCCCGCAGCGTGTTGTGAGGGAGAGAGGAGCATACTGACAACAAGGAATGCGAGTTACCGGTTGGCTTTTTGTATGTGGAATGAGGCCCAGAAACCTGTGTTGTGTGTCCATTTGCACCTCGACACCTAGTGAGACCTAGTCAGCCTTTGAAGTCGTGCTTCTGGGATTCACCCCGACTACTGTGGGTCTGGAGCGTGTCCTGGAAACTGCTTCAAGAGGCCCCTGGCTCTGAGCCGGAAGGCTTTTGATTGTGTGTGTGTGTGTGTGTGTGTGT